ACCTGGAGCTGGGCTGCCATGAGTCACCAGCGACAGCGTAGGCTGCAGCCCCTGCTGCAGTGGGCTGCCATAAGCTACCATGTGTAGCCGGCAGCCAGTGTGAGCTGCCAAGAGCCACTGTGAGCAGCCTTCCAGAGGCCGGCGACCGATCTGCCTCACCCGGGAAGAGTGCAATGATAATACCAACATGGGCCAGTGAAATGACATCTCCACAACTACAGTGAACAAAAACGACAGCAACTTGTCTGTTCCCCTTCCCCCGATTCCCCAGCGCTGTTCCCCTCCCTCAATTCCCCAATAAAATCTTTAAAAAACAAACAAACAAAAACTATTGCTAGAGATTAAAATGGTTTCTTAATATAAAAAAATTAAGAGAAACAAACTAGAAAATCCAACTAATTGCAGGGAAGGGAATAGGTTCTTGCCATCTGTGGTGACACGGATGGATATGGAGGGTATTGTGCTGAGTGGAGCATGTCAGACAAAGAAAGACAGATGCAATGTGATTTTGCTTTTATATGGAATCTAAAGAACAAAATAAACAAACATAACAAACAAACTCATAGATACAGAGAACATTTTGATGGTTTCCAGGTGGTAGGGGGGTTGGGGGATTGGTGAAAAGGGGTACAAATTAATACTTACAAAATAGTCATGGGGATATAAAGTAGGAAATATAGTCAATAATATTATAATAACTATGTATAGTGCCAGGTGGGTACTAGACTAGTCAGGGGGATCACTTATTCAATTATATAAAAGTCTAACCACTATGCTGTACCCCTGAAATTAATATAAAATAATATTGAATGTCAAAGAAAGTGTTTAAGTTTTTTCTTCATACTCTTCTTAGATTCTGGTACAACCTGAGCCCTTGAATGACTCCTGAATTTTGTAACTGTTGAACAAACAAAACTCAGAAAAATATAAAAATTACAGTTTGCTTTTCTTTCCCATTTAGAAAAGGAAATGAGACCAACCAACAGCCAAATATTTTAATACATGCATACAAGTTGAAAATTTTGTTGTCAAACATTTGCACTTTTTTTGTATAACCCTCATTTGGTCAGAATATATGTAATTAAAATTTTAATATTCCCCTCGAAAGCCCTTAGGGTAAAAATATATTATTTATTATACAATCCTAATTAAGCTTCTACTTTGTGCTAATTGATTTTCCAGATTGTGGCTGGAAGAAAATATTCTATTGAGTTCACAGCCAGGGAAACCACATGTTCCAAGCAAAGTAATAAAGAGTTGACTGAAAGTTGCGAGATAAACAAACTTGGAGTAAGTAGTAATGTAACTGTCTACTTATTCTCTGGAAATGTATTTGATAATTTATACTTGTTTAAGTAGTTCATGAATAATGCTGTTCTCTCTTTTGACTTCTGTTTTCATGGATAGCAAGTTCTAGGCTGCAGTGCTGATGTTATTGTGGTACCTTGGCAGAACTTAGTTGAAACTACTGTCAACTGTCAACCACTAGGAAAGGTATGATTCTAATTCCAGTCGGCTTGGGTCAATTTTGCTCATTCTGAAAAGTTCTATTTTGGGGTTGACAATCATTATTTAAATGAACTTGGGTACTATGTTTTCTAAAATGGGGAGAACTTTCCCATTTCTGTGCTGATCTCTTTTTTCTATGGCTAGAATGGAGAGCAGCAGTCCTCTTAGTCACTTCTCAAACATTGTGAGTGTCCCGTCATTCAGTAGCCTCTCTCTTAGTGAAGTGCAGCACCTGCTGTGGAGAGCTAACACTACTAGCTATGCAGCTTCAAGGTGTGCCTGAGATGCTCCACTGGCATCTGTTTTCATCAAGAAGCTTGAAAGAAATGCAGATCTCAGACCCCACTCCACATCTACTGAATCAAAATCTGCATTTTAACATGATCCCTAGGGGATTCGTATCCATGTTCAGGTGTGAGAAGTATTAGTCTACGTCATCTTTTTTAATTCTTAAGAGAAACTTGGGAGGTGAGTAATACTTTCCCCATTGTCAAGGATGAGGCACTAAAAATTGCAAAGATGCTGAAGTCCTACGTGAATAATAACATTATCAAGTGTTTCCTCTGGCCCAGGCACTGTACTGAGGACTTCACATACATTTTTCTCCTGACAACTCTGAGGCAGGTGCTGTTGTTATTCCTATTTTAGAGATGAGAAAAGTGAAGTTGGTGGCACTCGAATTCAAACCTAGGTCAAATCAGAACCCTCCTTGTTCACATGATGCTGAGAACTAGTAGGGTCTGGTTTGTTTGACTCCAAAGACTGCTCTTTGTACCACCGAACACTGCCTCCAACCATAATGTTCTTGCAGGTAGTGAAAGTATAGATAGAAATAATCCACAAATCCATATCTTCAGTGAAAGTTACCTCTTCTTCTTTTTTCTGATTTAGGTTTTTGTCATGTATGGAAATGTGTATAGTCTGACACAAACATTATACAATGGCTGTGTTTCAACCTTGTGAACATGTCTTAATGTGTTTCAGCTCAACAAAATTATTGTGGATATATGTTCCATATATATTCAGTTCATAAAGCCATTTAGGGCCTTTTAGGATAAAAGCAGTGATTGTGCTAATAGTATCAATTAATAAATAATGTGCCATGGCTTTACATAATCCTAGGCTTAGGGGCTTTTGAGAAGGCCCTAGAGATTATGTAGTTTAGCCTCCCAAGTTTTCCAGATGAAGAAAAAACTCTCTAGCTTAGAGGAGTATTATTAAGAACAATAAGCAATACCCACAAATTATAAAATCAATCAAAAGAGGAAAAAATATTATGCATTCTCATCCTTTCTGGATTATTAATATAGTGTTTAGACCTAGATAGCTAGGTCTCAGTCCCTTCTTTCTTCATTGATAGTGTGGTTTTTCACAATAATGCATTCATCTTAATATTTCCTGTTTAGACCTCAATGATGAAAAGGCCTCCAGGTTTTTCACCTTTCCGATCAGTACAAGTGGAGGAAAGAAAAGAAGGAACAACTGTAAGTCCACCCCACTCTTCCATGGCACCTGTACAAGATGAAGAGCAGCATTCAGGACGAGAACAAGGACCCACTCATGCACATGGCTGGGGCCATGGAGAGCAAATAAAACATGACCTTGATCATGGCCATAAACATGAGCATGACCAAGGCCATGGGCACCAAAGGGGACATGGTCTTGACCATGGACTTCAAAAGCCACATGGCCTTGGCCATGGACATCAACAGCAACATGGCCACAGTCATGGACATCAACAGGAACTTGACTTTGATCTTGAACACCAAGGGAGGCATGGCCTTGGCCATGGACATCAAAGGGAACATGGCCTAGACCATGGACATAAACATAAGCATGGTCGTGGCCATGGAAAACATAAAAATAAAGGAAAAAACAATGGAAAGCACAATGGTTGGAGGACAGAGAATTTGACAAGTTCTTCTGAAGATAGCACTACATCTTCTGCACAGGCACAAGAGAAGACAGAAGGGCCAACATCCCTCCCTTCCCTAGCCCAGCCAGGTGTAGCAGTTACCTTACCTAACTTCCAAGACTCAGATCTCATTGCACCTGTGATGACTAATGCACCACCAACTCCCACAGAGAATGATGATGCTTGGATCCCTGACATCCAGATAGAGCCAAATAGCCTTCCATTTAACCTGATATCTGATTTTCCAGAAACCTCCCCCAAATGTCCTGGACGCCCCTGGAAGCCAGTTAATGGAATGAATCCAACTGTGGAAATGAAAGAATTTCATGATTTTGATCTCTCTGATGCTTTGTATTAATTTATGCAGCCATGGGTGTTTCTTTAACACTTCATCAACCCCTTTCCCCATTGTCCAAATATCCTGATATAATGCACCCAAAACCATGAAGCTTCAGAACAGCCCAGAGAGAAGTGGTGAGACTTATAATGGGGACACCATCAATTTCTATGGACGACATAAAACTGTGCAGAATTCTAAATCCTTTATGAGTCTTCCTCACAAGTTTTCCTAACTAGCACAGAAAATGGACAAATAAATGTGCCTTGTGGCCTACCGCAATTTGCTTTTCTAATAATGAATGTGTGCCTTAAAACGTATGTCATCAATTTTCATACAAAGATTCTTGACATTCTAAATAAACTGTGACATCTGGTTCCTGAACATGTGAAAATAAGGGAAGTCAAGAGATTGAATGTTCAACTTCCTAATGGGAGAAAAATAAAAACCACCAGAGGTGAAAGAGGGACAATAAGAAAGACAGATTGGTCAAAGGGAGGACAGGGGAAAATAAATTAATTGACTTTCTGTTTCCAAAATGGGCCAGTTATATCAAATAGTTAGTCCCACTTGACAAAGTTATTCTGATTATCCTCTTTCTGAGTGAGCATGGTTCTTGTAAGTCAATAATTTGTATTACTTATTAACTTCTCTTTGCAACAAGACTTTCAAATAGGAATTTTCTGTTTGTCTATTTGCTGCTGAGGCTAGAATGAGTAATACTTAGTTTTCAGCAGCTCTGAGTTTAATGATAAGAATGGAAAGCAGATGAAGTAATGTAGAGCCAGGCTTGCAAAGGAAATCTTTTATAATTGACAAGGAAATATCATGAGATGTAATGCAAATTTTGTTCAGAAATTTTATGAGGAAATTTCTCTCTAGCTACACTTTATCTTCACATCACCTTTTTGCTACGGCATTGAAGAGCACTGATTTTTGCAAAAAAGAACAATATTATTGTCTTTAATTGCTTCTAATGTGAGAGAGGCACACATTTTATAACCCTTGCTGTGTTTTGCCTAGGGAAGCAAGACAGGGTTTTACACAGCTACACTCACCTGTGGATAGATGTGTCACTGCTACTTCAATTTATTGGATGCATTTGAGACTCTGAGTTTTTATTTCATTTCAAATATTATCTGTATTTTTAAATAAAGAACCAATGATGTCAGGAAAAAGTCTCATCTTGTCAACTGGTTGTTTCACTTTTCTCTTTTATGGAATGACAACATCTTAATGGAGTTTTACTATACTTACAGAAGCACCTAAAGCTCTGCGAGTACAAGGGTCGACCTCAGGAGGCAGGGGCACAGCCAACAACTGAGAGTGAGGTCTCCTAACCAGTGGGCAGAATCTCCATGCCTGGCACAATGGCCCCAACGACCTCTGTCAGCAGCCCTGTGTGGAAGGACAAGAAGATGGGATAGAATGTAAATAGAGAAGAATGCCATTTATCACTGCTGCTGGGTGAAATAAAGTTTGATCTTGACAGTCTCACGACTCTGCCTTTAGCCACACGCATCCTGCAGCAAAATCCAATTGATCAGAGGGCACGCTCTGCCAGGGAGGGTCCTAGCCCAACTCTGGAGCACTCTTGTTAACCAAGGCAGGAATCCCTACCACCAAGACCTCATCATGGGCGCTAAATCAAGGGTTAGGGGGCCATGTTTCCACCAGCAATCTAAGGACTCTCTCTACCTTCCCTTCTTCCTCCTCCTAATTTCCAGCCCAAAGCTAAGAGTAATTTTTTTTTGTTTTCTTGTTGTTTTTCATGATCCAGGTAATTACCAAAAAAGAAAAAAAAAACCTCCAGTGTTAATATACCTACCAGCTTCTTATTATCAGAAAATATCTAACCTCAAAAACATTTAAAGAAAATTTAAAATTATCTTTCTGATCTGGGTAAAAGAGAAACTGGAAAACCAGTAGAATAAAAAGTGATAGAGATTTTACTCTGATTTGGTGTGTCCATCTGGGTCATAGGGGAAGGGGGGGGGAGGGTGAGGGGAAGACTGTAGGATTTCCAAGGGCTCTGCCAGTCTGTGCTCCTGACATCACCTTGTGGAGGTGGTGGTCTGTACCAGAAGGATGACCTGCTCCAGGAAAAGCACTGGCGCAGCATGTAGTTCCCTTCTCTTCTGAAACCTCTGGCTTACACTCTTCCTCCTCGGTGAAAGTGTGGGGTGGAGGGGTCAGAGGCACAGATCCCTACTCCCAAAACGGTGTCCCTGCACCCCCACCCCCAACCTCTCTACTGTCCTGGGCCCTGAGCTCTTTTGGCTGCACATTTTATTTCAAAAGAAAAAAAATTATATATATATATATATATATGTATACATATATATATACATATATATATATAATTTTTTTGTTTTGCCAAGAAAAAGTGATAGAGATTTAAATTTTCTATAGTAAAATACATTTATTGAATGTCTGTTATACTCATTTACCATGCTAGACAATTCCCTTTTGGTGTGTGATGTAATCCTCACAACCACTCTGAGGTCCCCATGATCATGTTTCCTTTACAATGAGGAAACTGTAGCCCACAGTGTCTTGCCCAGGGTCACATAGTTAATATGTGACAGAGAGGCGTTCAAATTCAAGACTTTTTGAATTCCATTATACCATGTTATCATGAGGCGTTATCAATGTTGTCATTACAAAAAAAAAATCAAGATAATTTCTGATTCTGAGATGATCATTATCTCAATGCAAAAACCCTTATTAAATATATCATTGTGGCTGCTGCTACTCTGAGTACTGTTCAGGGTAAACTATAACTAAGTTAAGTAAGCAGCGAGCATTGACTGTTCACCATATGTTTAGCACTAGGTCCTGAGAGGAAAAGAAATAAATTTTACAAGATATAAATCCTTTTCCTCAAAGAGCTTACAATCACATTAAGAAGTCAAGACTTAAAGCAGGTGGAACAGAGATTTAATCCAATCCATGAGTATTTGTGGAACAGTGAGCAGGCCTGATGAATGTGATTAGAAGATGTTAACGAGGTGGCAGGACCAACTTGGAAAGATAAGATGAAGCCCAGTTAACTGGAAGTTTAGATTGAAGCAGGCAGTAGAGTGCCCCTTACAGTTCTTGAGCTAAGACGTGCTTAAAGAGTGTTTAAGACCCATTATTCTGAAGATTCTGGGGGGTAGTGATTAGAGTGAAAAAAGACTGGACTTAAGGCAGTATTCCCAGTGTCTCCAGGCCATCACCTTTTAACAGGAGAATGACCACTGAGGCTAGTATATAAAACCTACAGTTCTCACTTAACAACATGAAGTATCTCCACTTATTATTGGTGCTAGATAAAATAATCATGAGTTTCCTCTGACCTAGCACCCTACCTTTCACTCTTTAAATATCTGTACCCTCCTTCCACTCCTGAGCCAAAGGCACACCATGTTTATGACCTTGTCTCTGGAATCACACAGCTTCATCCATTTATGCTTCTCTTCAGTGCAGGAATTTCCTCTTGTCCTGCCCAACCCACCTTCCTCACATTGTCTAGCCCTAGCACCTCAAGGAGGGCACCCTTATTGGCTTTTTACCCCCTTCTTCCCTTTCCTGCACTAAGCCTGGCTCCAAAAGACTTAATGCTTGTTGGCCTCATCTCAGTCTGTCCTGCACATAATCTCCCCCGTCCTGCTGGTGCTCTGTGCCCTTACCTTGTGGGAGAGGCCAGGCCCCCAAGCCCCTCAAGGCTCCTATGAGAAGACTTGAGAGAATCCAGTAGATATGATAACAACCCACTTTTCCAGAAGCCGCAGTGTCTTTCCCTATAACAAGTTAGATGACCAGAAAGCAAAATATATCTAAACACCTCGCAAAAAAATGTTCTTGTTAAATTATTTACCTTCAGCCTTTATTTTATACAGATCTCCATTTGAACACCATTCTGTCTTTTGCAAAACTTTAATTGCAGTTATTGCCCAGGATATTCACATTAGAGGCAGCATAATGAAGTGGTTAAGAATCAGGGTTCTGCAGTTAGACAGCCTGAATCCAAAAGCTGGCAATTTATTTAACTTCTCAAGACCTTAGTTTCCTCCCCTGAAATATTAGGTTAATAATATACTCACATCATAGGTGTGTTGTGAGACTTAAAATAAATAATGCCTCAGCACATGGCAAGCATTATGGTAGCAATTATTGGATGGCTAGGACATACACACTACCATACTTGCAGAAAAATGTTCTGTCAGACAATGAGATGTGTTTAACACAGTGTACATCCCTTTTTGCCTTTAGAGCCATACACAGGATTCAAAGGTTGTAGTCAGTTCATATCAAGTGGCTGGTAATATCTACTCCCTCACTTTCAATTCTGTGGTTCTCAACCTTGACTGCACATTAGAATCACCTAGACTGTCTGAACCCAAATCTCTGTGAGTAATCCCAAGTATCAGTAGTTTTCAAAAGTTCTCCATTGATTCTAATGCATCCAAGGGTGAGAACAATTGATTTAGAACCTCTCTGTTCTCTGTTTAATCTTAATTATGAAGTTTTACATTGTTCCAGTTTATTAACTCTTTCAAATCTTTTTGAAAATAGGAGGGTTATGAAACTCACAAAGGATGGACAGATGGATGGATGGGTGGATGAACGAAAGGACAGGTGACTGTAAGTATTACATGCCTAGGATTGTCACGATAAGAATGGAGAATACAAGATGGGTATAAATGGCATTTCAAAGACTTATAAACAAATTACTTGCTAAGTATGAAGAATGAAGGACAGAAATAAACCAAAGACGACAAAGTTTTCTAGTCGAGATGCCTAAAGGAATGATAATGCCATGAACACAAACAAGGGAACTGGAAGCTGGTCTGCGGTTGCTAGTAACCCATAAAGAACAAGGCTGACCCAAAATGCACATAATTTAAGCTATTTCAACAGCTGAATAAACATATGAAATCAGTATACAGATGGAGTGTAAAGCTACTACGTTCCACCTCAAATTATTTCATTTACTCTGATATCTGTGGCCCCTGCCACATAAACAGGTAAGTATCATTAGTTACTCATGGCCTGAGCTTGTGAAAATCATGGGAAACTACCATTACAGGATTCCTCATATCAAAGAGAACAGAAGGGGAAGAAATTATTCTCTGAAAGTAACCCTAACTCCTATTTCTACTACTGAACTAGAAACCTGAGTCTAGTAAATGATCTTTGTGATTACAGCTTTTCTCTCTCTTACCTTCTCCGTATGACATTTGGCGATGGCACCATTCTGAGGGTGTGAAAAGACCACCATTCTATCACGGCTATTAAACATGGATGTAATAGTAGCGCTTGATAAAAATCTAAGTACCAGCTTTTTAGGTAAGTAATATTGACCCGCTGAGTGACGTGGCAAACAGGAATTATGTTTCCAAGAAGCCCCTTTCCTACATGGTTTTCAGAGTTGTTCAGAGGAGACATTTGATCAGGAAGATGGAATGCAGCAGGTCCACTACTCTCCGAAAGTCACGGGGTAAGATTCAGTGAGTGATGACGCAGAGGGGCTAAGGGCTTCCGCCTGTCCTCATTCTCCATTTTGCATGCAGCTCTCTCGCCACTGCTGGCCATGCAGACCTACAGCCACACTATCCCTCCGCAGGTTTCTTCACTAGCTCCCTTCACAATCCCTCTGACAGCTGGATGTGTTGTCCAGATTTTCCTAAAACCTCCAAATTGTCCAACAGCACCCATGTTGATTAGTAACTTTTCTCTGATCTTCCAACTTCTTTTCCCTGGATCTTACTTCTCCAGTTCCTCCCACAATGGTGTTAAGATCTAAATTCCTAAGATCTTAACCTGAAGACTCACAGTGGCTCTGCTTCCCTGATCAAAAGACACACCAGCCTTTTTTCCCCTATCCTGTTACATCAGAGGAACACATTCCATGCCTTTTGAATATACAACGAGACCCAGCAATGCAACTGCATTAGAGCATCTCCTAAGAAAATGAGTAAAGGATGTTCCTGTCCTAAGGCAATGGCAGAAAGGAAGAGTCAAGTCTGAGAGGCTGTAAGCAAGCTCAGAGGGCAAGGACTGTCTTCTATGGCATCGTTTTACCAGGGCCGAGGCCCAGCACCTTAACAGAAAATGAGTGCTCAATAAACATGTCTTGAATTGAGCTGAACTGAGTTTGCATATGGCAGAGCCTTAAGCCCTAGGGTTACAAGCACTGAACAAGACAAACACAGTTCATGCCTTCACTTAGCTTACAATCTAGTGAGATGGTTTACAAATTTCAGCACGCATCAGAATCTCCTGGAAGGCTTGTTAAAACCTGGATTGCTGGAGCCATTTCCAGAGTTTCTCATTCAGCACGTCTGTGGTGGGGCCCTGGAATTTGAGTTTTAACAGATTCCCAGGAAATGCATTTGCTGCTGGTCCAGGAGTCATTCTTTAGAACTGCTAGTGTGATGGTACTCAGCCTGGCTATACATTAGAATCACTTGGGCAACTTTAAAAAATACCTTGCTAGGAGCATCACCCCA